AAAATTTATTATGGATGATATAAATGGTACATGCATAAAAATAATAATTGATTTAAAAACCAATATAAATTATACTAATATAAACTTTTAAGGCTTTATTTATCGGTATTGTGCTATAAATATAAGCTTTTTATTTTTTAATATCTTAAAAATATATAAAACATTAATCAAAATTAATAAAAGTATATAAAAATATTAATTTTTTGGCCAAATGTAAAATATTAATTATTTATAACAAATTTACATTTTACAAAAGTTGTTGTGAAAATAGTTTACACAAAATATGATCAAATAAAATTTAAATGACTCACAAAAAAATTTTAAAAATTTGCCTCCGAACTTAAATTTTTGGCTCCATCCAGGAGAACAAGCTAGCAGCAACAGAAATGAGACTAAAATCTGAATTCTGCAACTTTGATGCTCTTATTCTTATCCACTTGTTTAGTTGATAGAATAGTTATTCTTTAATCAAATTATAAAAATGAGATAAATTAGATAGAAATCATGCTAACGTTTTTTTTTTCTTTTTTTTTTAAGTTTTTGGGTTCAAAGAGCTTCTGCTTATAACTATAATCAAAGGTCAGTCTTTTTTACCAACGAGGGGTTGGATCAAGTGGTAAGCGGCTTATTCCAGCTTAAGCAAGGCTTCGAGTTCGAGTCCTTATGTATGCAGCAGCCCTCGTTAGGAGACTCACCCACCATTTCCAGGTGCGCGACGCGGGTCAGATCCGGATTAATCGGGGCGAAGCCCCTGATACCGGACGGGAAACCAAAAAAAAAAAAAGGTCAGTCTTCTTTTCTCTGTTGCATGTTCAATAACTTTAATAGCATGCTTCCAGGAAACTAGATTTTCAAAGTTGGTATTTGATCACTTGTGTTTTCATGAGAGGCCAGAGCAGGTAATTAGTCAACAAGTCAATGGTCTTCCACTTCTTTAACTTGAGCGTGTTCTACACACTCAGTGATTGTATTGTTGAATTCTGTAGGTCCACCCAATCTTTTGGGTTTGTCTTGACCAAGGCAAAAGTTAAGAGTAAATTAATTATTTTTTTATAATTAATTTTTATTGAAAAATTAAAAATTAACTATAATTTTATTAAACCTTATTAAAAACATTATGAAGCATTAGTGATAAAAATAAAGTGAATTTTTATGATTTTTAATAAAAATTAAATGTAAAAGATCCAGCGCAATTAGTGCACTCCTAACATTATCCTTGGTAGAAATTAGACAAACCATACTTCCTAAATAATAATAAGGATACACCAACGAGAAGTTGAATCAAGTGGTAAGCGGCTTGTTCCAGCTTAAGCAAGGTCTCGAGTTCGAGACCTTGTGGACGCAGCAGCTTTCGTTGGGAGACTTACCCATTATTTTCAGATGCGCGACGCGGGTTGGGTCCAGATTAGTCGGTGCGAAGCCCTGGATACCGGGCGAGAAACCAAAAAAAAATAATAAGGATACTTTAGGGAAAAGTTTATATTAAATAAGTATAGCGAAATGCATCAACTTACATGAATTCTCTCACTTAGCTGATGCATTCACTTTATTTCTCTACTGTCATCAGCGTTCCTTCCAATGCTTGCACTGCGCCATATGCTACACGATCTTTTAACAACTATATATTGTCAAAACAATAAACTTGGTTTGTCCTTGGTATCATCTTCCCCTATACATATTTGATATTGATATTATTGAGTTATGGCCTGTTTTCTGGTGGTTGTATCTTTTGCTCTACAGAGTTGTTGGCTGCAACTATACCAAGTTGCTAAAACCCCATCACTCTTATATTAAATGATTTATTTGTATTTAGTTGAGACTTAGTTTTCAAAACTTTCATAATTTAAAATCAGATTCTGGGAAACAAGAAGATTTGAACTATTCTGCTTTTGTTGAATGGTGGGTTAGGTTTTATACTTCTAAGATAGTGTTAGATTCAGAAACTTAATGGAACTTTGACCCTACTTTCTGTTTTGGTTAGATGGTATGTGAGTCACAATAAGAGAGTGATGTGAAAGGAATATACTTTTAAGTGGCCTTAAGCTTTATATCTTTTCATATAATGCTTTCATGGAAAAATTATTTGACTAAGAGCAGTTCCACTATTCCTGATCTTTTACAATATTCAAACTCAAAACAATAAAACTGGATAAGACTACAATCTGAATTCTGCTTTATGTGTACTAAATTATAATTTATGTGTGTTTTATTCTATCATTTTGGTGTTTTGCCTGTTTGATTCCAGCATTTAGTTTGTAAGGAATGAAGAACAAGCTAGCTGCAACAGAAATAAGACTGAAATCTGAATTCTGCAAGTTTAATGCTCTTATTCTTATCCGACTTGTTTAGTTGATAGAATGGTTATTCCTTAATCAAATTATAAAAATGAGATAAATTAGATAGAAATCATGCTAGTATATATATATTTTTTTTAAGGTTTTGGATTTAAGGGGCTCCTGCTTATAAGTAAAATCAAAGGTCAGTCTTCTTTTCTCTGTTGCATTCTCAATAACTTTAATAGGATGCTTCCAGGAAACAAGATTTCCAAAGTTGGTTAATTGACTTGGGTTTCCACTAGGGACAAGAGTAGGCAATTAACAAGTCAATGGTATTCCACTTCTTTCACTTGAGCGTGTTCCAACTTCCACATACTCATTTTTTTGCATCTATTGTTGAATCGTGAAGATCCACCTTACCCTTTTATTAAAACTCGTCAAACTGGTATCTTCCGTTAATCTTCACCCCACCCAACTCCAAATTAATGCTTTCTCCTTTTATTTCTTTGATGTTCCCTACAGTTATATTTAAGTAAAGCAGAATGATTTTGAGAACTGAGCAAACACCAACACAAAAGATTAAATTTCCTTGACACAGTCTTCAGTTTGGTTGAGCTTCATCTTCATTCTGTTCTTTTCACTTTCAAAAATCATGGTTTTGGGTATAGGGTCCTTCTAATTAATTATCACAATATGTCAAGTAAACGATCACATAAATTATTCTTCACAAACGACATTATTCGGGCAACATTTAGTCTCTATGGTTTTATTTTCTTTGAAAGAACCCCAAATAGTTAGTCTTCGTCTTGATGAGATTTTCATCTGTACCATTTGCATCACATGTTTAGTCTCAACCTTATCTTTGATGGAATCAGAAAATGAACTTCACATCTTCAATTGAATCAAATATTTAAATTTACTAAAATACCCCTTAAATTTAAACTATGTTACCCTTACTTTTTAAATACTAAAAAGGATACTTCAGAGAAAAACTAATATTAGATTAAGTTTAGCAACATGAACCCGCCAACTTACATGAACTCTTTCACATTATATCTCTCCTTCCATTGGCGTTCCTTACAATACTTGCGCACCATTCACTACAAGAAAATGACATGAGAGTGATTTTAGCAAGTG